GGCTAAGATAAATTGTTTCTATTATAATTTATATATAAATATACATTGTTTAACTAAGTTACTAACCATATAGAAAAAAATCTACTAATGTTACATGTGCATGTATATTTATATATAAATTATAATAGAAACAATTTATCTTAGCCAAGGATTTTCACAATAGTGGAAATAATTACAGAAACGCACAGTGGTACATAAAGAGGAATCTCAAAAAAAAAGTTATTGCTATTAAACTGTCAATTTATCATTAATATAGCAATTTTCTAATTAAATATTTCTCTCCCGTTGACACTTATATGCGTGCCACACTTTGGGGTCGTGAGTGCGTTATAAGAATGACGATGAAATCCAACTATTCAGTCAGATAAGGATTGTCTGTGGATGCCGCTCCCGAGTTGTTTTCTTCTAGTCTATCAGTTCAAAATAATTGGCGTATGTTTGGTTTTGTGCGAAAATCTGAATCAATAAAATCCTACCCCTTCCAGGTGGCTGAACGGTAAATCTGGTTTAGATAAACATGGTGGGAAAAGCATGGTGGGTTGAGCACATCCCAGTAGTTAACGTTCCGGACTAGGAATCCGAAATTTCATGGTTAGTGCCCCGTTAACTCCTTTTAAGTACTTAACGACTCCTCTGGTTAAGTTTAAGTAAAATATAAAACAAATATGTTTGCTTATGTTTTCAAATCCTGTTTTTGAAAGTAGATATATCAGTAAACCTTGAAATGTCCAATCACATATCAAATGTTTGCATACTTAATACTTGTGCGAATATATTTCTATTCAGAAAAAATATATTTGTTTAATTAAATGGAGTATATTTGCAATATTTTTTCTCATTGGTCAAACAAACATTATTATTAATAAATGGATAATGGAAATGCTACTTATGAGGACGAAGTACGGTAACAAAAATAGATTTTTGTGAGCCTTTATAATTTTAGAAAAATATTTTTTCTCATTGATCAAACAAACATTTTTATTAATAAATGGATAATGGAAATGCTACTTATGAGGACAAAGTACGGTAAAAAAAAAGATTTTTGTGAGCCTTTATAACTTTAGAAAAATATGTTGTATTTTTAATCAGGCATTCAGTTTTTCTTAAATCATGTTTGTTCACTTTTTTGTTTAATATACGTAATCATATATATATATTTCACTATGTTTCAGTTTTTTATTAAAGTCTAAGATATTCTGAGTTATCTTTGTTTGTAATTAAGCACAAAGCTACACAATGGGCTACCTGTGCTCTGCCCACCACGGGTATCGAAACCCGGATTCTAGCGTTATAAGTCCGCAGACATACCGCTGTGCCCCTGGGGGGGCATTCTGAGTTAAAATATGAAATAAGTAACTTATTGTTAGTAAAAGAAAGTGCAAATTAAGTTTTATATCTAAATAAAACTTACATGAAATGTTATGAGTATATACAAATGCCTAATAAGTTTAAGGCTCTCTAATGTTTTAGCACTAAGATTGGGGCTTATATGTTAAAAATCGGGATTCGATATTGGTGGTAGGCTCAGCGCAGATAGCCCATTATGTAGCTTTGCGCTTAATTATAAATAAACATAAATTAAAAAAATATTTCCTTACAAGATATGTAAATACACTGTTGTTACATATCAATATACTATTTATATACTAAAAAGTGATATTTTCCATGACTAAGTCATAGTTAACAGATTACTGGTAGTAACCTAAAGGTAAACAAATTTCTTATAACGGAACATTTTTTCTAGTTACAGTTTAAATAAAATTATGTAAAAATAATAATCTTTAAGGGTAAATTCATATTCTAAATGCACTACTAAAGAAAAATAACATCATTTTACTAAATGTAATAAAATTCATAACCTATCATTTAATGTTGCTGAAATAGCAGAATAATATCACAATTTAATGAATTTCACTTCAAAACGGTAAACTTTCAGTAATATTATCAAATTTTGTAATTTTATTTTAGAAATAAAAATGCTTTTTATCGCACTAGATGGCAGCAAGAACGTTGTTTGTATATGTTAGGCATAGATATTCTATGCTTTGACGGAATTGGAAATGATGAAGAGAATTGTCAATTTCTTTTACTTAGGTAAGAAAAATAATTGATTTAAGATGCCTACTTAAGTTTCGTTGTTATGTTTATATAGTTAAATTATACTCTACATTCCTACCAGAATACTGAAGAACAATTTATTGTTCTTAGCTTGCATTGTAATTTGTACTACTAGTACTAGTAGTACGAAGTCAAGGCGGTAGAGAACTTAGTGAGGATAGACACTAATTGACTAAAGAGGTGACGCAACGAATAATATTGAGAATACTATAAATGTGAAATTTGTACGCTAAAGAATAAACTTTAACCTTGCAAAGTATTTAAAATGTTAATTTGCACAACATTTGTAGTTTTTTTATAATTTAACACCACAAACTGTCACTGACATGCTTAATATTAATAATAAACTTGTTAATGTTCAGATTTTAAAATTTTGTAATTTCCACCTGTACATGATGTACTATTGCTTTAGTAACTAGTATGGAAGTGTGGTTAGAATTTTTCAAAGCAAAAAAGTACAAAACATAATATGATTCAAGTGAAACTAGCAAAAACCAGTTGTACTTAAGATTAATTTAGAAGCCACTACTAAGTATAATAAATCTTCCGAAAATTACAATGATTCAGCTCCATCAAGTATGTAGACATGCTCTCTTATGATGTAGGCAACTCATAAGTATGATGATATTAAATATTATATAAGTATCATGTCATTAAACACAAATATCTTATGTCATCATTCTTTTATATACAGAGGTATTACATTCAGTTATAACTAATTCATTTCCTCTTCTATGTATTACAAGTTTCATGGTGTATTTTTTCCAACAATTCACATGTAATTAATATATTTATACTTTACATAAATCATTAACATCACAAAAGTAGGGCTCGGCATGTCCAGATGGTTAGGGTGCTCAACTCACAATCTGAGGGTCGCTAGTTCGAATCCCCATCATACCAAACATGCTTGCCCTTTCAGCCATGGGGGCATTATAATGTAATGGTCAGTCCCACTATTAGTTGGTAAAAGAGTAGCCCAAGAGGTGGTGGTGGGTGTTGGTGACTAGCTGCCTTTCCTCTAGTCTTACACTGCTAAATCAGGGACGGCTAACGCAGATAGCCCTCAGGTAACTTTGTGCAAAATTCAAAACAAACAAACACAAAAATGGTGTATCGTGGAACCCAGCATTGAGTAAGTGAAATTATTAGACAGTAAATTTGAAGCATCCCACTATAGTCATAAGGTAAGTGCATTTTGAGAAATTACGTCTCTTGGAATTTTACTACTCAGAACCTGATCCTTAAGAAAATATTACTATTAAGGTAAGTACATATTATAACTGGTTAACAAGAAATGTCAGAAAGTTTTATGTTTCAATGTATTTTGTTTTTTCTTACTTAGGGATCACTCTGACTTTTTTGGAAAGTTTTTCTGAAGCAAATCGTGTTTTGGAACTTAGTGACAGGTAAGTATGTAGGTATGCCCATAAGTTAGCACACTCCAATGCTTAAATTATTTATTGTATATGTAATATATTTTATAATTGTTATACTGTATGTGAAACTATTTTTCACACAATATTCAATGTAGAAAAATGGAACTAGAAAATGTTTTTCTTTTGATGCTTTTTATCCAAACTTGCTTTGTATGTGTGGCCATAAGTTAGGCTTATGTGTAGTGTACATATAGCTACCATAGATTTTCTATAAATAGTTGAAGAATAATTTTGGGTCATTTGCTTGTTTTTTTTCAATAATATCTTTTGGAAACTGTTTCAAAAAATTGGTTTGCTATAATAAGTGTACATGTAATGTAACTAATATACTTACTGGTATCAGTATGTTTCATCATTTATATTAAACTCTTGAGTAATCTGTGTTAAAATGTAAAATAAGTAGCTTATTATTAGCAAAAGAAAATGTGTTAAGTTTTTCTTTAAATAAATCTTGGATGATATGCTTTGAGTTCATACAGATGCCTCACAAGTTTAAGTAACAGTATGTTTGAAGTTTTATATTAATTTAATGAAATACTAAGTTTTGTAACATTATGTACTCAATAAAATATCTAAACTGCTAAAATGGTTTAGAGGTTCTGTTTCAAAAGCTAGTTTCAAGTTGAAAAACAATGACTCCAAAACTACTAAGGTGCTTTTGAAAGAACCACTAAAAAAATGAACTACTCTTTAGAAGGACTTAAGCTTTTGTGTCATTCTTTGGAATGTAGTGCTTATGGTGCTGTCTTACTTAAAAATGATTTGAAAACTAATGTCAGATTTTGTGAGTTTTGCAATTTTATCAGATGCCAAATTAAAATATGTGAAGTTAGAATGTTTATTGTAAACAAAACATGATCAAGGATAAATCATATATGATATTTTTATGAATAAAGAAAGCATTGCTTTATTGATACATTCTGAAATCTAAATTTTATTATCAATAGGACATATGTTTGGCTATTTCCAGATTATGTTGTGTAACCTTAGCTTGTACATTAGGTTTAATTTTTCATGCAAATAGTAATTGAGTAATGAGAAATTTTATAAATTGTTTTATCTGTAGGTTTCTAGAAGTTCGTCACCAAGGGGTTTGGTTAATAAAAGTAAGTTTGAAGACTGTTGTACATGCCATTCTTGAGATTCATTTTGTGTTTCATATTTAGCAGTAAATATTGACAGTAACCTTACAATATTAATTCTTACTAGACCTGAGTATCTTTAGGCATGACAAGTCATTACTCTGTACTATTTAACAGGAAAATTGTTTTTTTTATTTATTCCATATTCTGAAGTCAACATCCATATTTCAGTCAATATTGGTCCTTCAAGGCTGTCCTTATACACCCATCCTTAAGAAAAGTAAAATTTTAAAACCACCTTTTATTTTGCAGAAAGTTAATGATTCTCCTCTTAAACTTTTGTAACGTGGCAATTTCCACTCACTTGGTAACTCATTCTTTAAGTCAATCATCCTTTCAAAAAAGGAAAATTATCTTAACTGAAGTCTACCCTGTCTTTTTCAAATCTTAGATTTGTGTCTTCTTATCCTGTTATCTTTAGAATACAGCACAAAGAAACTACAGGTCTTTATCTTATTAATTCCCCATATAATATTGTAGTGAATTTGAATCCCATTATAAACATGCTTCCCTTTCATCTGTTGAGGCATTATAAAGTGATTGTTGATTCCACTGTTTGATTAGAGTAGCCCAAAGGTTAGCAGTGGGTGGTGTTGATTAGCTGCATTCCCTCTAGTCTGTCACTTCTAAGTTAGAGATGGCTAGTACAGATAACCCTCTAGTAGTTTTACTCAAAAATTCAACCAAAACATTAATTTCACCACAAGAATGGTCTCTTGTAAACATTACTAAATGGTTAGCTGTGCTTTTGAATTTGATGCTAGTCTTAGCAAAATATAAGATATATTAGTGTAGTACTACATTTGTCTTTGTAACTTTTATGTGTCCTGTCAGTTTTTTGTTTTACAGTGGTTACTATGGACATGTTTAATTTTAAATGATGTAGATAAAAAAATTAGTGCTGTTCAGCATACATACTCTAACTCTGTCATGTACATGTAGATTTGTTTGTAAAGCTTTGATTTAGATGACAATATCTACAGGCTAAGTTTGAGAAATACAGTAAGCATATGGAAGTTGAAGCGGTCTTTCATATATATGCACACACACACACGTGTACCTAATGGTAATTAATCTTTTAATGAAGCTTTCAACAACCTCATTATGACAATTATTCAAGTGTTGTTTAGAAAGAAGTATATTTTTATTATCAGGGAGTTTGGTGATTTTTAAATAATGAAATTAGCAAAAATTAATAGGTATTTATACTGCAAGTTCAATTATGTAGTTAATAATTAATGAAAAACAATTAAAAATTGTACCTGTAAATCGATCTTTCGTTCCATGCTACCTTCCCATTGGAACAATATTAATAAAGTGTCAGTGAATGATATCAAATTATCACTTTACATAGTAACCTGATACTGCGTGACAACCATGTCAAGGCAAGATAAAATGCAGTCCCAATAAAGTCCATCAATTTTAAACTCATACATGTGGATTTATATTATATGGATAAATGAAATGAAAATTGTCAACAACCAGATGTTAATAATGAAGTATGAGCTTCCCTATGGAGCTATGAAAGTATGGGAGAGATTTTGTAATTACATTGGTTGTAAACATAAAATACCACGGTTGACACATACGTCATGTTGTGATGTAATTGATACATCGTTCATACCACTTTTATCATAGACTATTGTTGCAAACATTTTTTCGCTGTAGCCACAACCAATGATATGGCGTATAGTAAACTGTTGCCAGCCAATGTATAGGCTGTTTAGAATCCCCATTCATAATTTTTTGACTTGCTGCCAGTTCGATTTGCACAGATATATCTATGTATTAGTTTATGCATTATGTAATCCACACCACAAATTAATGGCAAAAAATAATTATAAATGATTTTGTTGTTGTGTTTTCAAATAGTAAATGCTTCTGGATCCAATGAAACTGGCCAGAACAAAGTAGAGCATGAACAGAGCTATTGTTTGATGTATCACTGATCTTTATAGGTCTAGCCAATTTGAACTGACACCCTGTTTTTGGTTTGGTAGAGGACAGGTTTAGCAATCATCACAATTTTTTTAAAGCGGATTTACAACTAACAAGAGTATGTTTACTTTGAAATAAATCCTGAAAATTCAGCACGTTTTAGTAATCTAAACATTTTTATTTGTTTTTTTTTATGTACAATAATTATTATTTTGCTTATATGAGATTTATATATTCACATCTGAGATTTTGCAATCACACACTTCCATGGCCAGAAACTATAATTCTGTGGGACTCCCTATTATTACACAATTGAAGTTTGACTTTATGAGGTTTTAACAGTGGTATAGAAGCTTGTTTCAAAATCTTTATGTGTTAATTTTTTTGTCTACACTAAGACTGAACAAGCTAATGTTGATTTTGATAGAGTTGATCTGAGTTAATCCTCAGTACACTAAAACAACTAACCAATGTATTTCACAATCAACTGTCAGTTCCTTTGTTCATATCATCCTCATTTTATTTATGATTTGCTGAATTTGTGAAATAGTTTTGACTATATTCCTGTATACCACAAAAACGAAATTTACCATTGTTTTAGGAACTAATTTTCTAGTGGTAGCTACCTTTATATCAGTCTTCCTTTCAAGTTTTGTTGCTTTTTCTTTTAAAACTAACTGACACCATTGTTCCCACATGTAAAAGCAGCAATCTTATCAACAAACATAACTTTCCATCATTGTGTTTTTTTTATTTTCTTTCAAACCCACAGAGACATGATTTGGAACTGCCTGGTAGAGTAAGGCTCCAACAGTATTTCCCCAAGTGACATTCAGTTGTGTAATGAGCTTCTTCTTCTTCTCTGTAATGAACATTATTACATATAGTTTGGGGTTGGTCAGTAACTTTGTAAGCCAAGAATTTTTACACCTGACACAGATGGCACCCTATAGGATGAGCATGTTCAGTGTTGGGGTTTGAAACTCGCGACCCTCATATTGCAAGTTGAGCACAATTCTGCAGTGGGCTCTAATAATAAAATTCTTTTTAACCCTATGCACAGGGTGGGGTCAAGGGGGCATGTACCATGACCTTTTACAGAGTGCTATTTAACATGGTGTTATGTATTTGATGTCAGAGTTATCAACTATTCAATTTAATCTGGATTGCTGATTCAGTAACAGTTCATAGTAGAATAGATACTTTATATAGGGTTACTGAGAAAAACTGAAGATACACATTTTGGAGGTTATGCAAACTGTGCGATGGACTAAAGAATTTTTATTCTTCATGTGCACATCACCTTGCACTCCAACTTGTCAGAGTCAGATTGAAATCAGTAATCCACAGACATAACACGTGTTATTTTGTGTACAACAAACTTGTACATTTGACTACAAGCATGCCACATTTTGGGTACATAAACCAAGTAAATTTGGATTCATAGTCAACATTCCTTATCCATTGGACTGACTTCATCCACACTTGGATAAGAACCTTCCTCGTTTGTCTTTATGGAAATAAATATCTATATGTCTGTAGGTTGGTATTATTATTTTCAATGAGAGTATCATTCTTATGTAATCCTTATAATTTGTTTCAGTTTTATGCACCTTGGTGTGGACACTGTAAGAATTTAGAACCAATTTTCAACCAAGTGGCTCAGTCTCTTGTTGATACAAACATTCAAGTCGGACGAGTAGACTGCACACGTTTCACCAGTGTAGCAACTGAATTTGGTATTCGAGGTTTTCCAACAGTCATCTTGTAAGTATTGTTTAAAATATATATTTTCTACAGATTACGATAAATTTATAGTTAGTGATCCCAATTAAAGTGTTTGTTAATACAGCATAAAAAAATTGGGAAGTTTTTAGTGATAAAAAATTACAGGTAAAGCATCAGGATTTTACTGTCTTTCTGAAAAATAAGTGATGTCCATTTCTTAACAGAAAGAACAAAATAGATTACAGAGTGTAAAGCAGCAAGTCAACGTATTATGCTTGCCAGATTGTTTTATCTATATTTCATGGTTTTGATCATTATAAATTGATTATGTTTGGAAGTTGTTACATTCATAAAACTGCTTTTCTCCATTTCCTGGATTAAGATACATTGTGTAAACTGCAGTTTCACTTAGTTTTGTGAGAGTTTTTTTTTTATGATTCCAACATGTTCATTGTACAAGATCCCTCTGTATTTGATTATGTTTACATTCTTTAGAATTATAATATATTCTTAATGTTTATTTTCCATTCTGTGTAATATGAGTCTCCTTAGCTTTCATATGGATTTCACCAAGTCACTGTAATATGATTCTTGAGTAGTTGGCATAAATCAAATCAAGTTAGTCCCTTTCTTTTAAAGCTAAGACTTTTCAATAAACATCAGGCCATCTTGTGTTATCATCACCTCAGGCATTTTTTCAATTCAACTAAAGTTGAAAAAAAAAGTTATGTAAGGAATAAGAAAATGGAGATAAGAGTTAAATTTGCTGTTGCTCCCCACAAACTTTATTGTTACAATCTTTCTTAACTGTCAACCACGATAAGTAGTCGGGGCATTGTAAAGTTGAAGCTTTTGTTCTGCTTCTTCGTTGAACAACCTAATCAAATAACATGTCTTAAAGTCATAGTTGCTTATGAAGATTAAAGGTTATACAAACACATGCATGTAGGTTCCACTTTGTTCCTAAAATTGACCAATTCATAAGTTGTACTTCCTCTCACTGTCAGAAAATGGTCATACGACATCCGAAAGTAAACACTCGTTCTTTTAGAAATTAAAACTGGATATGTCACTTCTGGCATCAGCAGATACACCAATTTATAGAAGTATATTCTAATGATAATTAAATGCATTTCATATATAAAATGGTTTTATTCCTCTTAGGCATTCATTGATGACACTAAGTACTTCTAGTCAGTTTGTTATATGGAATTGGTGTCATTAATTTATAAATTATTTTTTATTGTTGATTTGTATAGTTAAATTCTTTGTTATCAGAAGTTTTTAATAAAATGTTATCTATTTTAATGCTGATTCTACAGATATACCATTATGTGCAAACACTGATTCTACAGATATATCATTATGGGCAAACACTGATTCTACAGATATATCATTATGTGCAAACACTGATTCTACAGATATATCATTATGTGAAAACAGATTCTACAGATATATCATTATGGGCAAACACTGATTCTACAGATATATCATTATGTGAAAACACTGATTCTACAGATATATCATTATTTGAAAACACTGATTCTACAGATATATCATTATGTGAAAACAGGATTCTACAGATATATCATTATGGGCAAACACTGATTCTACAGATATATCATTATTTGAAAACACTGATTCTACAGATATATCATTATGTGAAAACAGATTCTACAGATATATCATTATGGGCAAACACTGATTCTACAGATATATCATTATGTGAAAACAGATTCTACAGATATATCATTATGGGCAAACACTGATTCTACAGATATATAATTATTTGAAAACACTGATTCTACAGATATATCATTATGTGAAAACACAGATTCTACAGATATATCATTATGTGAAAACACTGATTCTACAGATATATCATTATGTGAAAACAGATTCTACAGATATATCATTATGTGCAAACACTGATTCTACAGATATATCATTATGTGAAAACACAGATTCTACAGATATATCATTATGTGAAAACACCGATTGTACAGATATATCATTATGTGAAAACACTGATTC